CGTTGCGTTGCATTATACTGCACTACGTTGCATGTAGCATTAGCGTAAACTTACTCTTTCCAGTTGAAACCAAAGTAGGTTGGACTGCAAGAAACAAAATCAAAATATACATCGTAACCAATAGTAACAAACATATATAGTAGTAACCATAGTAACAGATTGGTAACCATGCATTTCATTCACACCAAAACTGAGGATTATTGGAATTGTTATATTGTGAGGTTTGTATTAATGTCGAAGAAATAAAAACAGGAGAGTTAACAACAAAATACATTAGACAATTAAAAGGCGACAAAAGTTTGTTAAAATATGTAGTTTTCTCGTCAAATCGTCGCTATATTAATTCTTCTGCTGCTATTATAGGCAAATGCTCCCTCGTGAAGAAATGCGCTAGATTTAAAAAATATAAACAGTCAACCGAAACAAAAAAAGATATTAATAAACATTTTTTTGTACACATATATATACGATAAATATTTGTGACCAAGTCAACTTGACTTGAACATTCAATTATGATAACTAATATCCAGGGCCGGATATACCTACATGTGGGCCTTAGGCCAAACTCATTAATGGGCTCCCAAATTGGGCCTTTCCTTATTGTACCGGTGCCCCATACTCCGAGACCCTATACTAATTGTACATGGCCCCTTGTGGTTTTGAATATATTATATATATATATATATAATGAAACAAGGACATACGCTGGCACGCTGAGCGATAAATTAGTTTCACTGGGCCACTAGATACCTGTGGGTCCTCGGCCAATGGCCTACTATTGGTAAATCCGGCCCCGACAAATCATACACGATTAGTAGATAATAAACATAACAAAAAAAAAACATCTGGTTTAAACATATAAGTGCTAATGGTATGGATATTAAATAAATATCTGAAATTTATTCTTGAGAAGAAAAACAATTGGGACATTTCTTGCTATCTGAATACAACAAATATTACAACTTTTAGCTTATAACTGCCTTTGGATATTAATTTTTCATTAATTCATCTCAAAATTTAAAGAGTTTTAACATTAGGCGCTAAAGCCTCATTAATTTGAATTTTGGTTTCAACTTTTAAAGTTTTGAAATTTTAAATCATGAGACTCAAATAGCTATCTAAAAAGACCTCTTATGAATGCAGTAACGTTGGGTTTTATTTTTTTACACGATTATCAAAATTACTATTTAATGCACTAATCACTCATGAACCACGGGGCCGATTCTCACTATGGTAGGACTGTTATTGTAGCTGACGTCTTAATCAACAAGTTATAATTAACGCGGCATAATTGAACCGAACGTAGATAGACTGATAATACCATAGTGGACAGTTCATTGTTTTATTAATCAACATTTTTCAACATCAAGCTGCTGAAGCCGACTATAGTCAGCCCATTATGATCCCTGTCTCAAAGAACTCAAAATCAAATCGATTTGGTCTAATGATTCAAAGTTCATCTCTCCAAGAAAATAAACTACAGATATTCATTATTGTTAATTTGAAGGTGAATTTAAAGGAAAGAATTAGGTGAAGAAAATGAATGGTGTTAATATTGAGCCAGCCAATAGGAGGTTAGAACCCACCTTAGCTTTACGAAGTGTATCAGCAAAGCGTTGATGAAGCTGCTGGTCACGTTTACGTTGACGTGCCTAAACATGCAACAAAATATTACCATGACAATAAAGCAACCAATCAGAACATTGATAGCACTATTAAGTTAAAGAAAAATACAGAAACATTAGGAATGTGTTGCTGAAAACCCTAACGCTAAAATTTGAAGCCGTCTGACCATTTCTAGTTGATATCTCAGACAATAAATACAAACAGTTTTAAATCTGAACGTTAAAAAATTAGTCACAATATTTGAATAATCTGACATTGTATTTTACAAACAAATTTACAAACATGCCTATAATATGGAGTAAAATAGAATGATATCAAAATACAACATCCACACATCGATAAACTATTTCAGGTAGCTGGACAAACTGACACCATAAATTGATACTGCACGAGGGCATTAGCCTGAGGGTTGTTACAATTACAATATTTCAGGTGTAGTTGGACAAACTGACACCATACATACATTTAGTGTGGTTTAATTGATACTGCACGAGGGCATTAGCCTGAGTGTTGCTTCAATATATCATGCAACATAAAATACAGAAACTATCCAACAGTTGCATTTCAATGAAATTGTCACACAAGTTCTATATTTCATCAATCTGATTACAATACAGATCTATATTTCGTTTCGTTTTTTTATACTTTCGATGGCCTACACTACATGAAGATCTGACAAGTTATAGCGATAGGTCACGTCAGGGGTCAAAAGACCGACTTATGACCCTATGATGTCAGACATTTGATTAACCAATCAGCATTGATGTTACTAGTGGATTACCCACAGTTCCGTGCAAAACACGCCTAAAGCTCGCTGTGACAGACCGTTTCATTGGCTTATCCCTGACACCATTCAGAACACGAGTTAAATAACAGCTCTTCCAGATCCAAGTGTAGTAAAGACAAGTAAAACGAAATTTTGAACTATAAAAACGAAACGAAATAGGATCTGTGTTTTAACCAGATTGATAATTCATCTAGTGTAAATATTGTTAAACTGGCACGTTGCCCGCCAACATCAAAGGATGACGCCACATCTGTAATTTAACCAAATCCATAACACAAATTCTAATGCTCAAGTCAGGGTATGCTTAATCCTTGTAGAAAACCTGAAGTCACTTCTCATTTATTTCTGAGAGAGAGAAATGGGGTTTAACGTCCACTTGACACAAACTAGATCATTTCGGGATTAACACATGGTTCAATTTTATTTCAAAAATTCACTTGCACGTAGGGGTTTTTAGTAGTGGAAGGAAACCGGAGAAACCGGAGAAAATCCACAAGGTTGGACAGGCGACCCACAACCATGGAATCGTAACAATGCCAGTTGACTCAATGACAGACCTTATGATACAGTGCTCACGTGCTAACCATTCGACCATCCAACTCCCCTCATTTATTTGCAAAAAGTAACTAACAAACTCAAGTCGAGACTGGGCGCTATTTTGTGACTAATTTTTCAGAAAATATGACTTACAACCAATAAAGTTTCATGTCTACTTAAAACAAACTAGGTCATTTTAGGACTAACATATGGTACATATCTATCAAAATAATTTGCTTGCGCCTAGGGGTCTTTGAGATCGAAACCATGCCATGTTTATTCATGTCAGACCATGATTTGAAGCGTACAAGGGAAGCTCTGGTGCAAGGAGTGACACAGGCCTGGTGACAATGCACTACCAATTCCAATTTCGTAGTTATACTAGTTCTGGTTCATGGGTAGAGTTCGCAAGCCAGAGAGTGACATATTTGTGACTTTCATTTGTTTGTACAGGGGTTGTCGGCTACATTATGTCTGTCCCAATGCAGAGACTTGTGGTTTAAGGGCAGATCAATCCAGGGAGAGACATAGGCCTGGTGTGGTTACATCCAGAGTTATACTTCCAAATAGATGATGGAATGGTCAATGAAAATTAAGTCATGTAGAAACATAATAATTACACAGTCTAAACAATATTTTTAAACATTTTAAAGAGAGGTAGAGAGAGAAATGGGGTTTAATGTCCACTTGACACAAACTAGGTCATTTCGGGACTAACATATGGTTCAATTTTATTTCATTAATTCACTTGCGTGTAGGGGTCTTTAGCAGTGGGAAGAAACCGGAGGGCCTGGAGAAAACCCACACGGTTGGACAGGCAACCCTACTCCTTGTCACGTACAACCAGGGAATCAAAACCACGCCAGTTGACTCAATGACAGACCTTGTGATTTCACACGCACACATTAAACCACTAGACCACCCAAACATAATTTGACCCGTGTCGCCACCAAAAAGAATAAATGAATGCGTTGACCTAAAAGTGAAACATTAAAAGATATCAGACAGAAGAGGTTTAACATAAATATCACCCAGACAGTGAGACATAATTACAACATTTAGTGCTTATACAGATATAGAGTTTATTCACAGATCCATTCTGATTAAAATACAGATTTATATTTTGTTTAGTTTTTTTATACTTTCCATGGCCTACACTACATGAAGATCTGAAATGTTGTACTGGGAGGTCGCATCAGGGATCATATGAGCGAGTGGCTTTTGACATGTTACGTCAGATACTTGATTAACCAATCAGCATTGATGTTACTAGTGGATTACCCACAGTTCCGTGCATCAATCGCACGCCAAGAACTCGTTGCAACAGACCGTTTCATTGGCTAATCCCTCACATCATTCAGAACGCGGGTTAGATAACAACTCTTCCAGATCCTAGTGTAGTAAAGACAAGTAAAAAACAAAATTTTGAACTATAAAAAACGAAACGATATAGGATCTGTGTTTTAACCAGATTGTCAGAGACATTGCCAAATATTTACATCACAAATCAATCGTCGACTGGAATTGGGTTCAATGTCTTGTCAACACAATACATTGGTCATTTCGAGACTAACAAACTATTATTTTTACTTTCAATGGTTACATGTGAAATGAGAAGGAGAGAATTTTGCTCAGGCAGCAGCTTTTCTACAGTTTCTGCATACTTTTAATCAAATTCCAACTGTCATCACTGTAACCTGAGTATCATTTAATCTTGTGTAACTAGCACTAATTTCTTTTACATTCGTTTAATATCAAATCTTTGTTCAAAAATTTGTAAAAATCATTTAAAATCACCCAAAATCATCTAATTTTTACTTTTATCCAGTTTAAAGCTGACTTATTAATTTTGATAATGAGTGACCAATTTACAAGTATTTGGGATTGAATCTCGGTTCCCTTGTGATGAGTGAACCAGTGCCGTCCTCACCGACGCCATCGTCATGGCCCCTTGTTTCAAACAGACAAAAGAACATATCTCATCTTGATTCATTTTTTTTGGCAAAGTCTCTGAAGAAGAAACAAGTGTTAAAACATAAAATATGTACGATTATGCTGGAAGACAAACCTCCAATATCTGCTGAGCTTTCATTTCTCGTTCCATTCTCAGCTGTTCTTGTTTGCGAACTTTCTCCTGTTGTTTGGCATGTTTTAGCTGTTCCTGTTGTTTTTGTCTCTCAATAACTACTTGTAACATGAAATAAAACATAAAATAAAACATGAAACAAAGAATTAATATTATACAGGAGGAGAGCGAGAGAGAGCGAGAGAGAGAGAGAGAGAGAGAGAGACGTCCACTCGACACAAACTAGGTCGTTTTGGGACTAACATATGGTTCAATTTTATTTCAATAATTCGCTTGTCCATAGTTTTTAGCAGTGAGAGGAAAATGGAGGACACAGAGAAAACATGAGGGGTTGGACAAGCGACCCTACTCCTTGTCACGTACAACCGGGGAATCAAAACCACACAAGTTCATGAAGCAGAATGTGGCCTAATAGTCTTTCCACCAACCCCAAAAAAATTAAATCCTGCTGTAACCCACTATAAGTCGCTCATCTTTATATAGGTTAAATCAGTTCTATCAGAGAACAACGCAGTCTTTAATTGCCCTGGGTGGAAGTTAAACAGAAATATAATAAACTAACACAGCTTTTAATTGCCCTGGGTGGAAGTTAAACAGGAATATAATAAACTAACACAGCTTTTAATTACCCTGGGTGGAAGTTAAACATAAATAAAATAAACTAACATTTCAACTGTTGTTGTCTTCTTTGCTGTATTTTCTGTCTCTGTCTTTCTAAACGTTTCTGGAATTTGATTTCAGCAGCTTTCTGAGATAATTCTGTAGTCATAAAATATAAATGAAATGAAATGAAATGAAATGGGGTTCTGCATCAAATGAGCTAATGAAGAGGGGCATACACTATCCAGTGTGCTATGAGGGAAATTTTGCCCTGGCAGTGGCAATTCTGCACACTCTTCCTTCTGGGTCAGAATCAGAATTAAACCCTAGACTTCCAAATTAGTGAACCAGTGCTTTACTCACTGAACACCTGTGGCTCCATGGTTGAATTGTCTGCATCCGAATGGCATTTATTACACTAGTGCACGAACAAGCTAGTTCCAAGATGGCGGTCTAGATAGAAAAGTTTTAGTAAAACAAACAATTTTACAATTGTTTTAAATTTTCTTAAATTGATATAATTTACCTTCTTGCTCTAATTTGCGTTTCATATTTAATTCCATCAGTTGTTTGGCTAGAGCTTGTTGTTTCATGCATCGCTCTCGCTTCTTTCTAGCGTTAGCTTGCATCCGTGCCCGCTTCCCCCTCGACATCTCTATCCGTTCCATCACTTCAATCTCAGACAGTTTAACGGGACTAGTTTGACCTTGAAGCAGCTCGAAGAACTCTCCAACGTTGACCTTGGTATTAAAGGTGAAATTATCGCGAGTGAGATCAGTTATATTGTGACGATCCAGATACTGAAATAAAACAAACATTGGCAATTAACATTTGGAGACAGAGAGAAATGGAGTTTAACGTCCACTCGACACAAACTAGGTCATTCAGGACTAACATATGGTTCAACTTTATTTCAATAATGTGCTTGCGCGGAGGAGTCTTTAGCATTGGGAGGAAACCAGAGGACCTGGAGAAAACCTACGAGGTTGGACATGCGACCCAACTTCTCGTCATGCACAACCAGGGAATCGAAAACCAAGCCAGTTGACTCAATGACAGACCTTATGATACAGCACGCAGGCGCTAACCATTCAGTCTTCCAACCCCCCAGTCATGTTAGAGCACAAATTTTCTCAGGATGGAGTAATTGTTCAAATTGGTCAAAAGACCCACAGGAAACCCATGAGGTTAGACAGATGACCCTACCAAGTGTAGGATCGTAAACAAGCCACTCAATGACAGACCTTATGATCTAAAGTGCACATATTAACCATTCCGCTACCCAAACTCGATTCAGACAGATAAAGAAGGAACCAACAATATATTTTGGGTTGCAATGTCATATTTAACTCACCCTTATGACATCAGGAATTGTCCTCATTTTCTTTCCACATGGAGCAAAATATAGAACTTCTCCCACGATACCGCGTCTGCCCATCGTGTGTATGGTAGTCTGACGCAACCAGCTATGTTCTAATGGTATACGTAGTTCCGATTCATCTGTCACCAATCGACGTTTCTTTCTAGTTCCAGCTGAAATACGAGCAATATCAAAAACATCAATTCGACATACATTATGCAAGAGCTAAATCTACCCATTGAAGGTCTTTCTTTATGCCTGAAATGTTTTATAAACTATTAATTAGACATTTATTAACAAAACAAGGCCATAATCAACTCTCGATGGCATTGGATACTCAAGATTTTAACTAGATTTTAACTAGATTAGAACAGTTCGCCATTTAAAAATTATATCTAAAAATGGGAAAGTGAGGCTAAGGCCCCGGTTACCACAATGCACACATCTACAGTGATAACTTGGCTCAAAATGAAGTAATTTGAATGAAATTTTAACTAGATTAGAACGGTTCGCCATTTAAAAATTATATTTAAAAATGGGAAAGTGAGGCTAAGGCCCCGGTTACCACAATGCACACATCTACAGTAAAAACTTGGCTCAAAATGAAGTAATTTGAATGAAATTTTTAATATTTTCATTTTACATTATCTATTTTTGAGCTCTTTATCTAAATCATACAGGACGTATCTTTAAATACACTGCATAAATGAATCCAATCTGATTCAAACACAGATCCTATTTCGTTTCGTTTTTTATAGTTCAAAATTTTATTTTACTTGTTTTTACTACACTAAGATCTGGAAGAGTTGTTATATAGCCTGTGTTTTTGGTTTATGTGAGGGATTAACCAATGAAATGGTCAGTTAAAGCGAGTTCGTAGCATGTGATGCACGTAACTGTGGGTATCCTACTAGGATAAGACGCTGGCTCGCTAGCCTTGAAGTCTGGTGTATACATTGGCATGCACGTAAAAGATCCCTTGGCAGTTGGAGTTCGATATAAGAGTAGGCCATAGTGCCGCTGCCTGGGCAAAATTACCCTCAAAGCACACTGTATGGCATATGCCCGTCAGAGCAGAACAGTATGATGTTAAACCCCATTTTATTTCATTTTATTTTGCACAATCGTTGGAAAATCTGATAACAGCCTATTAGTGAACTCAGAGTTGATCTTTTAAAATTGAAAATATTTTTAAAATAGAAACACGTACCTTCGTCCATCGACTCCGAATCCAGACTGTGTTTTTCACCATGTTCACCATTATCACGGCTGTCATTTTGTGAACCTTGCGACTGATCCCGATCTGAATCATTACTACTATCATTATCAGAACTTCCACTATCATCAGAGTCTGTATCCGAGTCCGACGTCGTTCCTACTTTATCCAGGTCATTGAGCTGGGGTTTAGATGTTCCTTCCCCTAAATCACTTCCATTCTAAAAATTAAAATGACAAAATGAAACCGGTGACGATCAGCATCAAATTATTCAACAGATGTATATCGTCATTATTACAATAAATTAATGAAGGAGTTATCTCCCCTTAGTCACTCAGACCATATCTTTTTGTTTTATATGACATAACATGATATTTATTCCTCCTGTGGTATGAAGTTCAAATTTTAGATCAGTTATCTTTAGTAAATTAAAGCATTATTACAATAAATTAATATTCAAATTGAAGATGGGAGTTGAAGGAGTTATCTCCCCTTAGTCACTCGGACCATATCTTTTCGTTTTATATGACATAACATGATATTCATATCTCCTCTGGTTGAAGTTTAAATTTTAGATCGGTTATCACTCGTAAATTAAAGCATTATTACAATAAATTAATATTCAAATTGAAGATGTGAGTTATCTCCCCTTAGTCACTAGGACCATATCTTTTCGTTTTATATGACATAACATGATATTTATACCTCCCCTGGTTGAAGTTTAAATTTTAGATCAGTTATCTTTAGTAAATTATAGTTCTAAACTGAGAAGATGGAGTTATTTCAAGATTTTCTTACCGCCTCGGGTTCAATTTTAAATTTTAGATCGGTTATTATTAGTAAATGAAAGCTTAAACCTGAGAAGTTATTTCAAGATTTTCTTACCGCAATGGGTTAAAGTTTAAATTTGAGATCAGTTATCATTATTTAATTAAAGCTTAAAACTGAGTAGATGGAGTGAGTTATTTTATAAATTTCTTACCGCTTCGGGTTGAAGTTTAAATTTTAGATTAGGTATTTTTAGTTTTAATGGAGGTACTGATTTGGTGACATTGCTTGTGTCTGTTGACGTGTTGTCTTGTGACTTCTGATTCTCGGCTTCTTTCATCAATAAACGTAATCGATTCTTCTGTTGTTTTAACTCCACCTCTAATTGATGTTTTAATTCTTCCTGTTGAGACAGCTGATCCTTTAAATAACAAAATAAACATATCTTCATTAGCATTATCAAGTGTCACAACAAGGGTATTTGAGTGTCATGACAAGGGAGAGAGAGAGAGATGGGGGACTAACATATGGTTCAATTTTATTTGAATAATTCAATTGCACGTTGGGGTCTTTAGCAGTGGGAGGAAACCAGAGGACCCAGAGAAAGCCTGGGAATCGAGTCATGACATGGGTTTTAAGAGTCATGACATGAGTTTTAAGTGTCATGACAAGGGCTTTCATTCATACAAACGTGAGATTTGAGTACCAAGACAAGGGGGTTTTGAGGGTTACAACAAGGCTTGCAAGTGTCATAAGGGCTCTGAGTGTCATGACATGGGCTTGCAGTGACACAACATGGGTTTTGAGTGTCCCGAAAAGGGCTTCAGGTGTCATGACAAGAGCTTCAGGTGTCATGACAAGGGCTTCAGGTGTCATGACAAGGACTTCAAGTCATGGATCTCCTTTAAAATTTCTCAAATATATTACACACAAGGATGAATTACTTAGGATATTTTATTTGAACACAATCTGAAAATTAACTTACTTCATTTTCTATTTGAGACAGAAATTTGGGATTTTTTGGTTTGCGTTCTTTATTTTTGGGTGATTGTTGAGGTGATATTTCAGAGTTGTTTTTATTTTGAACACGTTGTCGGATCTGATCAGCTAGAAGTTGTTTCTTTAGTCCATCGATTTGATGTGGCGTTATCTGGTATTTGTTATCGTCGTCCTCACCTACTTTCAGTTTTTTTCTTCTTTGCTGCAAAAACAAAAAATTAACACAAAATGAAATGAAATGGGGTTTAACATCCTACTTTTCTACACCAACTGAGCTAATGGAAATGGGCATGAATTGTGCAATGAGGGAATTTTGTCAGGACAGTGAATTCCAGCTGTGATGGGTTTGTTTTTTTTTTGTACACACCAAATGACGATCATTATTGACGGCCCTGTTTAATCCAATTACACCTAAGCCAAGAGATAATCTATCCCATTGACATTTGACTTTGTTTTACATAATCTTAAAGATACATTATGGGAGATTTAAAATTGATCCACTATGAATCAAGAACTAAGCGACTGAAATTTCCCCCTAGCCTCGGTCATCATTACTAAAGTCAGTACAATAAACAGCATAGTCTCGATTATCCATTTAATCGTTAAATCGAGAAGGAAAGTTATGCAGTAAATCGGCTCAAAATCCACTAAAGATCGCAGGCTAGCGCTGCCATCTAGAGTTGATTATGGCCTGGATAGGTTAATTAATGTCTAATTAATAATTTAGCTCTTGCATAATGTATGTTTAATTAAACATGCATTATGCAAGAGCTAAATCTGCCTATTGCAGGTCTTTCTTTAGGCCTGAAATGTTTTCTAAAGTATTAATTATACATTAATAAACTGATCCAGGCCTTAATCAACTCTCGATGGCATCAGATTTCTCCGATATTAAACAGATTGGAATGGTTCAGGGATACTTTGATTTAATCAAATATGGAGGACCTAGACTTAGCTTCGATCAACCAGTACGGTGGTTGAAATTATTGCACACGTCTGTCAAACCTTCAAAGGCTAATATCTTCGCTTGCAATAGAGTAATTTGAATGAAATTTTCAAATTATTCATTTTACATCATTTGCTTTCGAACTATTATAGTAGGAATGGCTAGTTCTTTATCTAAATGTTACATAATGTATCTTTAAATGTTAAATAAGTATATTATAAAATAATTTAAGTATCCTACATTTGAGGGTGGAATAATCCATGAATAATTGTACATTATTATAAAATATTCAATTTGCGGGTGGATTAAGCATGTGAATAATTGTACATTATTATTTTTATGAAATGAAATGAAATGAAATGGGGTTTAACGTCCTTCTGTTCTGTTCCGAACTGGGCTAATGAAGATGGGCATAAGCCATACAGTGTGCTATGAGGGAAATTTTGCCCGGACAGTGGCATTATGGCCTACTTTTATAGCGAATTCCAACTGTCAAGGGATCCTTTATGTGCACGCCAATGTGTACACAGGACCTCGTTTTTTCGTCCCATCCGAACGACTAGACAGCTGTCCTTGTCAGGCCCTCCAATTATTTTTGTAAATCTGAAAATGGATTAAGCCATGAATTATGAAATAACCAATTTAAGTATATTTGAGTGTGGAAAAGCCTTGAATAATTGTACATTATAAATTTTATAAATTGGAGGGGTGGAATGAATAATTGTACATTACGAAAAATAATTAATCTGAGGGGAGAAATGAATAATTGTACATTATTAAAAAATAATTAATCTGCGGATGGATTAAGCTTGTGAATAATTGCACATTATTATTATTTTCATACAATTTATCAAATTATAATTACCCTCTCGTCATCACTGGTGATATTATCTGCGTAACTATCATCACTGATCGAACTTCCTGAACTAACCAATGAATGACTGTCGCTATCTGATAGCATTCCATTGTCCACTTTCTGTTCTTTTTTGGGGATTTGATTAGGTATCTGTAATAAACGAAAAGATACAAGGTGATTCCCGGAAGCATAAACAGATTTTCCGTTAATAATGTGCATATTCCTTTAAATGTATTCAATTTTAAAACTTGCTTCCGCTAATATTCATAAAAATCTAACTCGTAGGTCAAAAAAAACCTTAGCAAATAAAATAGTCCATTTACTTTTGAGGAGTTAAACGTTGATTTTATTTTAGGGTAAGATGGAATGGATAATGGTGAAGATTTTGTTACGGAGGAGGATATTGGAACAGCCACTGCTTTAGGTACTTTCTGTTTTCGTTTTCTTGAGCCTTCTCCTGAACTGATGGTGGATTTAGAAGAAACTGTGGCAGATGTAGGGGTGGGGGATCTTCCATTGACTTGATGACTGCTGGCTGATGATGATGCTGTGCTGCATGGACTACTTGTGACTCGTTTGGAGGATGAGGATGACGAACGTTTCTGTGAGGTCGGAGATGGCGCTGATTTAGACGATGATTTTAATGATGATGGTGGTGGTGAAAGTGATTCAACAAAATGTTTCTGTACACCAGCTAGATAGGCAGCTGAAATATATAAAAATATAAATATATTCATTTATGGTTCTTGCTTTTTCTACATGTTTGAGCACGGCAAACAGTGGAACGAAAATATTTACAACAACTTAAGATTTACGATGGTAGACATGATATAAGATGGGTACAAATGATACAAGATGGGTAGATATGATACAAGATGGGTAGACATGATACAAGATGGGTAGACATGATACAAGATGGGTAGATATGATACAAGATGGGTAGACATGATACAAGATGGGTAGACATGATACAAGATGGGTAGACATGATATAAGATGGGTAGATAATGATATAAGATGGGTAGATAATGATATAAGATGGGTTGATATGGTATAAGATGGGTAGATATGATATCAGATGGGTAGACATCATATAAGATGGGTGGATACAAGATGGGTAGATATGATATAAAATGGGTACCGGTAGATATGATACAAGATGGGTAGATATGATACAAGATGGGTAGAAATGATATGAGATGGGTAGTCATGATACAAGATGGGTAGAGATGATATAAGATGGGTTGATATAAGATGGGTAGAGATGATATAAGATGGGTAGATAAGATACAAGATGGGTAGATATGATATAAGATGGGTATACATGATATAAGATGGGTAGATATGATACAAGATGGGTTGATATGATTTAAGAAGGGTAGATATAAGATGGGTAGACATGATATAAGATGGGTAGACATAATATAGGATGGGTAGATATGATATAAGACATGATATAAGATGGGTAGATATGATACAAGATGGGTAGACGTGATATAAGAGGGGTAGAGATCATATAAGATGTGTATACACGATGAGTAGAAATGACATACGGTGGGTACACATGATTTAAGATGGGTAGATATAATACAAGATGGGTAGACAAGATACAAGATGGGTAGATATGATACAAGATGGGTAGACATGATATAAGATGGGTAGATATGATACAAGATGGGTAGATATGATATAAGATGGGTAGATATGATACAAGATGGGTAGATATAAGATGGGTAGATATGATACAGGATGGATAGATATAATAGAAGACAGGTAACTAGTGTAATCAAAATGCAAATCAAGTCATATTTATATATTAACATGCAGGCTGTGCAAACTATATATTAATAATAATAATATTCCAAAATAGAATGAATACATTGAATGAAATGGGGATAGACTATTCTGCAATAAGATGGGCATACACCATGTAATATGTTTTAGGGATGTTTTGCCAGGACTGAAAAACTATTTCCTACTTTTATTTTACAGTTTAGTATCATTTTTATTTTGATTGCTCTATATATATATATATATATACGGTTGTGCTAATATTATATACACAGAAAGACAAAGACACCAAAAACTTATGTGGTTTAATTTTATTTCAACAATTCGCTTGCGCGTAGGGGTCTTTAGCAGTGGGGGAAAAACGAAGTACCCAGAAAAAACCCACGAAGTTGGACAGACGACCAACTCCTTGTCACGTACAAGCCGGGAGATGACTGTCTTCAACACATGACGTCATATCACGCGGCGTCAATCATTGGCTCAATGGCGTGTGCATTGTGTACATAAGACATTACTGATTCGAGCAGAATGGCGCCCTTTACTCATTTTAATACCCATTTACACTAAAATAGGAAATAATTTTTACCTACAAATACTTCAAACAACTTTATTTATTTTTCTAATAAATACATAACAAAAATGTTTTAGAATTTAATTTGTCGGAGGAAAAAAGTTAATATTTGTGACTCGTTAAGTCGCATCGATGTCATCCTTATCAGTGATTGTCACAGCCTAGCGAATAATTTGTCGGAGGAAAAAAGTTAATATTTGTGTCTCATTAAGTCGCATCGATGTCATCCTTATCAGTGATTGTCACGGCCTAGCGAATATTCAATGCGGATCAGTGTGATGTTTATATATACTTAGTTATACAGAATTATATTATATGTAAAATTAATCAATCAACTGATTCTAATATAATACTGGTTTATAAACCGTCAATGTTCTATATTTGCCAAGAAAATGTTCAAAAACTACCCTAGTAGTCAATTCATGATATCTGACAATAAAACTGAAATTGAACGAAGCCAAAAGCTAAACTAAATTTCATCCTATTATTATGATCAATTGAATTTGACTTCAATTAACTCGGAACAAAAGATTTCTGAGCAATTAAGCATGAATCAAATTATACGACCAAACAATATTGCCAGATAAAATAACTGGCAATACATTCACGAAACAAAACATTAGAGCACGGTGTCGTGGTCTTTACGATCATATTCAAAATTTTCTGATAGATAATATTAATGATTAGTTTGGAAGTTGTGACAATTATGAGAAACTCGTTGATCTTATCGTGGAGTTTTAAACACGTTATGCGACGACAATTGATAATTACAAAGTTCGATATTTCTGTACGAACACAATCAATAAACACAGAGTTAAATGATGGTTTGTTTTTTTTCTGGGAGAGGAAGTGAGTCATGTCATTTATATCAGACAAAAATAACTTCTTTTTTTTATTATTTGATGCGCTCTGTCACTTCTAACCTCACAATACAACTGATAAGGCTGAAAACAGAGAGAGAGAGAGAGAGAGAGAGAGAGGGCTTAACTCCACGTAACACAAACCACGTCATTTCGGGACTAACACATGGTTCAATTTTATTTCAATAATTTGCTTGCATGTAGGGGGTCTTTAGCAGTAGTGGGTCTTTAGCAGTAGGAGGAAACCGGAGGGCCCGGAGAAAACCCACGCGGTTGGACAGACAACCCTACTCCTTGTCACGTACAACCGGGGAATCGAAACCACGCCAGCTAACAGACCTTATGATACAGCATGCACATGCCAACCCTTCAGCCTTCCAAGCCCCCTGACGACAGGACTGTATATATATAACGCAAAACAGTCTTTTAAACAAATTTTTTTCAGTATAAGAGAAGCTCAATACAAACAAGGAAAACAGAATCGAAAATATCTTTTTTTTTTACAACCATCTCTAATAACATTTATTGCTACAGGCCTTTTCACTCAAAAATAAAATGACTGTGATCAATAAATTTAATGGTGTAGAGATCTTCCAGACTCTGTATTTAAAAAAAAATCTAAATATAGTCTATAATTATATAGCTCATTACAGGTATGCAACAGGTAAATTTGGCTGAATGGGAGTGGAAACAGGAAAATGATTTCGTTAAAACCGTGACAACATTCACAATTGTATTTTTTTTTTAGAGTACATAATTAAAAGAGAAAGATAGGTAACTGGCATTTAATGTCCACTCAACATAAACTAGGTCATTTCGGGACTAAATTATGATACAACTTTATTTCAATAATTCGCTTGCACGTAGGGGTCTTTTAGCAGGAGGAAACCAGAGGGCCCGGAGAAAACCAACATAGTTGGACATGTGACCCTAGATAAATGAGATTTAACATCCACTTAAAACAAAACTAGGTCATTTCGGGACTAAATTATGACACAACTTTATTTCAATAATTTGCTTGCGTGTAGCGGCCTTTAGCAGGAGGAAACTGGAGGACCCAGAGAAAACCCACGAGGTTAGGCAGGTGATCCTACTTGGAAAGAGCAAGCAGGTACTCTTTGTCTTTAAATCGTATTCCCCAAAATAATTTTCATCGACTGTCCTAAATCAGCTTCTGATTCAAAATACTTTATTCATGAATGATGTCAGATAGGACATGATATAGATTGATATCTTTCTAATATCTCAAATACAAGTCACCAGTCAGCAACTGTATATTCTATTGGTTAAAGATAATATTTCAACATGAACTAAACCAGAGAGAGAATATTTGGAAATCAAAATGGGGCTCAAAAAAGTTTGAAATGAAATAAAATGAAATAGGATTTTAACGTCCTACTGTTCTGCTTCCACTAGGCTAATGAAGACGGGCATACACCATATAGTGTGCTATGAGGGAAATTTTGCCTGGGCAGCGACATTATGCCTACTCTTATATCAAGTTCCAACTGCCAAGGGATCTTTTACGTGCACTCCAATGTGTACACAGTACCTCAGTTTTTCGTACCATCCGAACAACTAGACAGCTGTCCTTGTCAGGCCCTCTGTCATGCACCACACACACACTAACCATTTAGCCATCCAACCCCCCTTATCAGTGATCAATGTTCTAGGATACAGAACATCCATCATGATCAACAATCGACCGTAAAAACTGACAATATATTATCAACAATATGAATCTTAACCACTAACATTAATCTTTATACACTATATATATATATATATATGTATATATGTTATTACCATAGTAACCAGGTGATTGACAAGTAATGGTGATCATTGTGTATTGATAGAATTGATTTGTTGTAAGTTACAGTTGGTATACAACAAGATTCATTCCACAGGTATATATCATCAATATCATATCTTATATATAGATACACCACTCTAGTTACCTCTAGTATATACATATAGATATATATATATAAAGATTAAAGGTGTGCCGACACAAACTGATAGATATATATATATATATATATAAAGATTAAAGGTATGCCGACACAAACTGATAGATATATATATATATATATATATAATATATATATAAAGATGAAAGGTATGCTGACACAAACTGATTTCAACACTGGTTTAATAACATTTTAACATTTTAAAATACTAAATTTAATATTTAAATTCTTAGCACAAGTTTTTAAATGTTTAGAGACTTTCATATCAAAATTAGTATTTTAAAATGTTAAAATGTTATTAAACCAGTGTTGAAATCAGTTTGTGTCGGCATACCTTTTATCTTTTCATCGTTTACCGGGAAACGAAGTAGTGCAACTTTACTGTTGTGCTAATATATATATAGAGAGAAATGAAATGGGGTTTACTGTCCTACTGTTTTGCCCTGACTCGGTCAATGAATACGGGCATACACTATCCAGTGTGCTATGAGGGAAATTTTGCCCAGGCAGCTGCA